ACCACACCGCGGGCGTCTACGTATCTTACACCGCGTTTCCGCGCCGACCACACCGCGGGCGTCTACGTATCTTACACCGCGGGCGTCTATGTATCTTACACCGCGTTTCCGCGCCGACCACACCGCGGGCGTCTACGTATCTTACACCGCGTTTCCACGCCAACCACACCGCGGGCGTCTACGTATCTTACACCGCGTTTCCGCGCCGACCACACTGCGGGAGGCCAACGAAAGCAAAGGCTCCCATAAACTGAACGCCGGAAGGTGGACTGTGGCAGCGCAGCCATGCCCCCGGAGAGCCTGGCACGTTCTCAAGGCCTGACCAGCCACGGGGAGAGCGTGGCTCAGAGAGCCACCCCCACTCCTCCAATGGGACAGAGAGCCGCTGCGGTCCTGGGGCAGGCTCTCCTCCCCCAGGTCCCGAGAGGGAACGGGGCTTCGTGCCTACCCCCGTGCAAGAGGAGCGCCAGGTCCCGAGAGGGAACGGGGCTTCGTGCCTACCCCCGTGCAAGAGGAGCGCCAGGTCCCGAGAGGGAACGGGGCTTCGTGCCTACCCCCGTGCAAGAGGAGCGCCAGGTCCCGAGAGGGAACGGGGCTTCGTGCCTACCCCCGTGCAAGAGGAGCGCCAGGTCCCGAGAGGGAACGGGGCTTCGTGCCTACCCCCGTGCAAGAGGAGCGCCAGGTCCCGAGAGGGAACGGGGCTTCGTGCCTACCCCCGTGCAAGAGGAGCGCCAGGTCCCGAGAGGGAACGGGGCTTCGTGCCTACCCCCGTGCAAGAGGAGCGCCAGGTCCCGAGAGGGAACGGGGCTTCGTGCCTACCCCCGTGCAAGAGGAGCGCCAGGTCCCGAGAGGGAACGGGGCTTCGTGCCTACCCCCGTGCAAGAGGAGCGCCAGGTCCCGAGAGGGAACGGGGCTTCGTGCCTACCCCCGTGCAAGAGGAGCGCCAGGTCCCGAGAGGGAACGGGGCTTCGTGCCTACCCCCGTGCAAGAGGAGCGCCAGGTCCCGAGAGGGAACGGGGCTTCGTGCCTACCCCCGTGCAAGAGGAGCGCCAGGTCCCGAGAGGGAACGGGGCTTCGTGCCTACCCCCGTGCAAGAGGAGCGCCAGGTCCCGAGAGGGAACGGGGCTTCGTGCCTACCCCCGTGCAAGAGGAGCGCCAGGTCCCGAGAGGGAACGGGGCTTCGTGCCTACCCCCGTGCAAGAGGAGCGCCAGGTCCCGAGAGGGAACGGGGCTTCGTGCCTACCCCCGTGCAAGAGGAGCGCCAGGTCCCGAGAGGGAACGGGGCTTCGTGCCTACCCCCGTGCAAGAGGAGCGCCAGGTCCCGAGAGGGAACGGGGCTTCGTGCCTACCCCCGTGCAAGAGGAGCGCCAGGTCCCGAGAGGGAACGGGGCTTCGTGCCTACCCCCGTGCAAGAGGAGCGCCAGGTCCCGAGAGGGAACGGGGCTTCGTGCCTACCCCCGTGCAAGAGGAGCGCCAGGTCCCGAGAGGGAACGGGGCTTCGTGCCTACCCCCGTGCAAGAGGAGCGCCAGGTCCCGAGAGGGAACGGGGCTTCGTGCCTACCCCCGTGCAAGAGGAGCGCCAGGTCCCGAGAGGGAACGGGGCTTCGTGCCTACCCCCGTGCAAGAGGAGCGCCAGGTCCCGAGAGGGAACGGGGCTTCGTGCCTACCCCCGTGCAAGAGGAGCGCCAGGTCCCGAGAGGGAACGGGGCTTCGTGCCTACCCCCGTGCAAGAGGAGCGCCAGGTCCCGAGAGGGAACGGGGCTTCGTGCCTACCCCCGTGCAAGAGGAGCGCCAGGTCCCGAGAGGGAACGGGGCTTCGTGCCTACCCCCGTGCAAGAGGAGCGCCAGGTCCCGAGAGGGAACGGGGCTTCGTGCCTACCCCCGTGCAAGAGGAGCGCCAGGTCCCGAGAGGGAACGGGGCTTCGTGCCTACCCCCGTGCAAGAGGAGCGCCAGGTCCCGAGAGGGAACGGGGCTTCGTGCCTACCCCCGTGCAAGAGGAGCGCCAGGTCCCGAGAGGGAACGGGGCTTCGTGCCTACCCCCGTGCAAGAGGAGCGCCAGGTCCCGAGAGGGAACGGGGCTTCGTGCCTACCCCCGTGCAAGAGGAGCGCCAGGTCCCGAGAGGGAACGGGGCCTCGTGCCAACCCCCCGTGCGAGAGGAGCACCCGCACACGCGCTACCTGAGGAGTTTTTGCACTTGACGGCTTTGGGAGTGGTTGGCGATTTCGTTGGGGAGGTCTCCGTTTCGGCTTCATCGCTCTGGTTTGGGTCCGTGTCCGACTCCTCCCGCACGGATACCTCGGAACCTGGAGAAAGCAAGGAGCTGGCTCAGGTTCCTCACGGTGACACAGCCAGGTTGGGAAGTCGCTGGGACCTGCCACCAAAGGGACTCGCAACCCTGCTTCCTTCAGCACCGGGCCCCCGAGAGCCACACGCACCAAACGCCTCTCGCCTGAGACACACGGGTGGCTTTCGTTTGTCCTAAATCCTCACCTGTATGCGTGATTCGGCCGGCCCGTCTGGCCTGGGAATGCGCGAACCCCTCAGACAGCTCAGAGTCACGCAGCCCGTCGCTGTGTGAATAGTGTCACAAGTGTCCCCCGTGCAACAGTGCCCTCTTGTGACAGTAGCTCCAGCTGACGGTGCTCACAGGGTTGGAAGCTCTACACCATGGGTTCCCAAATTGGGGGGGCGTGAAGAATTTCCAGGGGGGGCACGAGGTGACTCAGCCCCTCCCCCCTCAAATCCCTCCTGCTAAATTTTGCTGCTATTTTTGTTTTTTGGCCCCGGTCAGGTCCTTTTTTATTGTTTTGCTTAACAAGTTTTGCTGCTATTTGGGGAGGGGAGGGCGTGAGGGTTTCTCAACAATCAAAAAGGGGACGTGATGTCGAAAAGTTTGGGAAGCGCTGCTCTGCACTGACACCGCTGTGTCCGGCTCCGACGAGGGCTCCGATTAACGGCGGCGAACCTGGTAACTGAACTGCTGAGCCGGCCAACAGAACCCCGAGCACAGAGCACTTTGTGCGCTCAAATGAACATTCGCACGGAGCAGACGACGTGCGCACAACCGGGAGTGTCCTCGGGAGAGCAGGGCCCAGCGTGCACGCCTGAGCAACGGAACGTCTGCTCGTTAAACACGGAAACGCTTTCCTAGGGAGCGCCCAAGTGAAGGATGGGAATGTCTAATGGACAGAGTGGCCAGCCAGGGATGGCCGGTGGCATGGCCGGGTGTTCCCAACCCAATGAAAGTGCGGCTGGCTCTAGAAGGAGCATATGGACATTGGGAGCAATTCGCTCTAGATCTGTCCTTCACTTTCTCAGCCAGTCCTTTCTAGCCCTTCGCCGCCGGACTCTGAGCTGGTGTAAATCACAGAATCACAGGACTGGTAGAGCCCTCGGGAGGACATCGGGTTCCCTCCCGGCAGCACCCAGCACCGTCTACCCAGCCCTGACAGGTGTGTGTCCAACCGGCTCTGGAATCTCTCCAGGGATGGAGACTCCACAACCCCCCTGGCAACTTATCCCAGTGATTCACCCCGGACAGGCAGGAAGTTTTTCCCAATGTCCAACCTGAACCTCCCTGGCTGCAGTTTCAGCCCCTTGCTCCTCGTCCTGTCCTCAGAGGCCGAGGGGAACAATTGCCCCTCCTCCCTGGGACACCCTTTTGTGTACTTGAAAATTATTGGGGCTTCTCCAGGCTAAACACGCCCACGTCTGCCAGCGTTCTCCCCAGGCCGGGTGCTCTAGACCTTTCATTCTGTTGCCTGTCTCTGGGCTTTTCCCGCTGTGCCCCCCTCTTTCCCGCCAGGGCGTAGCTCCACGAGGCAGAGGCGATTGTGGCAAGGCCAAGACAGGAGTTTCCACTCAGCTACAATAAGCCGCCCCAGGCGAGGCAGTGTCCCCCCCGGCGTGGGCCTCTCCCTGCGGCGCCTTCTCTGGCCACGCTGTACTCCACGGGGTCTCCAGGCACCCGGGCCTCCCCACCAAGGAGGGGGTTAACCAGTAAGCATCACCCTCCCCAGGTCACGGTTAACCCACAGGGCTGGAGAACCCCCGGGGCTCGCTGTGGGCAAGGGCTGAGCCAGCCCAGCCGGAGCAACCCCCACCCGTGGCGGGGGCAGGC